GAACCACGATGTGACTTTGAGTGACATTTGAAGTTTCTACTGAAATTTTTTGATTCTTTCATATTGCATTTCCAGAAGATTTTTTAAGCTTTTAAAATTTGGGCTCTATAAACAAAAATAATAACATTTGAATCGTTCCTTTTATTCTCACAAGTGACTGAGAGTCATCGTGCTACGATTCCTTTGAAAAACACGTGGTACGATTGGGGTTAACAATGATGTAGGTTCTTTTCAAGTCGCATATCTAAATTTAGCAGAATGGGAATCGAAAAGTTGCTGGGACTGTTTGAAACTTTTATGGGTGCTATTATGGGTGTTGATTCAGCAGGAAACGCGTTAACGAAATAGAATGAAACCCGCGATCGTGAAAGGCGAATATGCACGCCCCCGCACGTCCAGTAACATGTGCGAGAGGTTTCTGTACAGAATCGGTGAAATTTATCCGATTAAAGTGATATTTATTATTTTAATCAATTAGTGTACGAATGGAATCAATTAGTGATCGTATTACTTGCACACTGACCGATTAAGCAACGGTTAACGGTTCTTTTGTTTGTAACAGTGCAATTTAGTTTCGAAGAATTGTCGCGTCGGCGAGACAAACGATGCTGATGATCTTAGAGCTGGTCGCGGCGAAAGGGTTAAATTGTAAATTATCTACGCTATTAAGCGACTTATTGGCATAGATAACCGGGGAAAATTGTACTTGCAACGCTTGCAATCTTACATTTTGCTGAATGCAAGTTAAGTTGATTTTATAAATGATTTCATTTAATACGATGACTTGATATACGAAGGTATAAAGTATTCTTAGCAACGCTTAAGGAAGATGTATTGCATTTAGCTGAATATTGTAAACACGGAGGTCGTTATCGAAACAAATGATAGCGAACACGTTGATCATTCATAATCTTTATCTTATCGCAATTTATATACTTATATACATCGTATCATATCATATCATATCATATTATATTTATATATGACTAGCTTAGAAGTTGACGCGTTTAAGTCGATTTTTCGATATTTTCTTCGTGTCAATTTGAATGGAATCGGTAATATTCTGTTGCAGAGTCTACCCTTTGAAAAAAGACTTTACACATGAAAAACGATTAATTTTCTCAAGATTCAATTGGCTCCTAAGTGACTCATATATCAAAGGAAAATATGAACTCTCGTTATTTCGTTATTTCGTTATTCCTGTAGAAAGTCACGCATAGTTTTATCGAGCAATTGGAAATCATTTGCGCTATTACACGCGTAGCGTTGTTCGCCTAAGCGAAATACACGCGGCAAGTGTGAGTGCACGCAAAATGCACTTGAATTACATCATACGGAATATGTTGAAAAAATGGCACTATATCGACCGGAAAATTTCGCGGTATCTAGGTATATATCCCATTCACCAGACGCCGTTCTGTCAGGCATTAATTCATTCGGGTCACTGAAATATTCCACGCTGGAAAAGGAGCGCCGAAGACAGTTCGTTCCGGCGAAAATATGCAGAAAAGTTTCGCAATTCGAACGAATCCCGCGCGATTGCTGCAACGGAGCTATCGGCAAATGAAAAAACAATGCAAAAACATGTGGAAATCGCAGTTGCTCGTAACATAAGATCGAAATCGGCAAACCACCGGTTCGTAATTGTACGTTGCGATATAAATATATTGTCACGGTCTAATAATTGCCATTCGATGGCCTATAATAGCTTTTCAATAACACGAAACAAACATTTCTTGGACAAGAACTACAATGGGATTGAAATCTGTCGTTACTTTTACTCAGGAAATCAAGAATTACCTTTCACGATTATCACGTAAAACTGTATTTAAGAATATCAAATTATGAATGTTCGCATGCGTGGTTTGTACGAAAAATCGATTTGTATTACAAATACAATTCATGAGACTAATCTCATGAATAAATCTAATCTAAGCAACGATCAATTAATTTCTCCTGTCAGAATAGAAATGTAAAATTACGAAATTCAGTGAAAATTTATTATTACATTTATTGCGAAATACTGACAAATCATTTGTAGCATATTTATTATTCATAAGAGATATTCTTGTTATTTACCGTTTAAATTATTGGCAACACGTTCACTGTTAAATTTAGTAATAAATTACAATTACGGAGACACCGGTCCGTTCTTTGTTACATATTTCCAGATGAAGATTAGAAATTGAACTCGCGCAGCAAGATCGCATTCCTGGCATACTGCTCGGCGAAAGGGAAACTGAATTTGATGAGCGATAAATTGTACAGAAAACATTATCTCGAAAGGATTCTGCAACGGTAAATTTATTATCACCGCGGCAGGACCTCCTATCTCTGCGGAAGAGATCTACAATCAGACGTTCGGATGGGGTTACAACACTTGAGATTATTAGTTTATGCTCGGCGATCGGGACTTTCACATGAAAGGGGGTTCGGGCTCTTTCATTATTTTCAATAATGGTCGCGTTTCAGCGCGATCCGGGAGCCTAAACCGCTCTTACTTCCCGAGTCGCAGTTCGCGGGCATTTTATCCACCGCGGAGAGCGACTTTTGATTTTGTTTTCCCTCGTGGCCCACTCGGTGAGAACTGTAATTCGATTCGGTCGGTTCCGCGTGCGTATGAACTTTCACATCGAAAGCTGTTGTAACTTCATGTCACAAGTCCGCGTATAATACTTAGAGGAAACAAATATCGTTGCATAACTATCGAGCTGCGCGACAATTCCGCGGGATCAATGGTTAATCGATCACGAGCCCCGTAAAACGCTCGGTTGTTTTAGGAAAGATCGACTCGCGATGGAGATCGGAAATTGGGAAAGTGGAATTTTCAATTTAAAGTGTGTTTGGATGTTGGTTATCGTTTCTTTGAGAGTTCGGTCGGTTGAGGTGAAATAATGAATTAACGATGGAATGTTAGTCTATTGTTCCATAGAGTTTTGAGTTTGATATTCAAAAGACGTCACTGCTGCATGCGAATCGTAGCAGGAATGATGAAAGGGAAACTTGTTTTTCCCTTTTCCTCTGCGACGGATCTCGATTGATCAGGACACAAAGGACTGAACTCCCGTCGTGACTGTATAGTCAATGTTCACTGAGTCATCCCCGTTACTTCTTGAAACTGCTTTCTCAGGGTTATATTAGCGCTCGCGCTGCCTCGGATCAATGATTAGTAACGTCTACGGTGCCAACGAATCGTAGAAATATGAAAAGCGAGATCGGACGGTTTGCAGATCTGTAGAATGGTGAATTACTGAATTTCTATAGTGGCAAATTTGCGAATTGGTGAATTGCTATAAATTGCTAAATTTGCGAACTTCGATTCACGCGTCGACACTTGCGTTTCATTAAATTTAACACTTGAAGGCTATAAAACGAAGGGCTTTGTGATCTAGACAAAACGAAGAAACGAGTGAATCCTCGAATAACTAACAGTATTATTGATTCCATGAAAATTTACAAAAGCCAGAAAATTCGTTCATTTTGAATCAAGAATTCGATTCAAAAATCGACTTAACCGCAATGTAGTGTATAACCTCAGACGATCCCCCATTGTAGGATACATCCCAGAAGAAACCGAATTAGAGAAAATAACAACGGTTAAGATACTGACAGGGATTACACGTGGTTTTATCATTCATTCCGAATCACTGTTTTCTCTTTTTAAACGCATCTCTTCTCACTTGCACCCTAATCCCAGCATCCCTAGTCAAAACCTTGTTGCTAATCGCTGCACACTCACAGTCTAGTCGCTCAGACCCAACCACTCTTTCAGCCACTCAAGATTTCACGCAAAGACAATCCACAATTCGCACCCTACACACGCAATGCAACAATCGCTTTTTGCATGGATAATTTTTAGGAAATTTCAGTCGAAAAGAAACGTCTGTACATTATTAAGGATTCCATTATATTTCGAGTAGAATGTAAAGGTTTCTCGATCTTCTATTTATTAATTATTTATTATAATTTCTTAACCCTTTGCACTCGGCAGTTTTTCACTAGAAATATTTCAAGATTTCCTAATGGGAGAAAAACAGCATTTTATGAAACTAACTCGAAGAGAAATCACACGTACATCGAGGCACAAAGCTATTTTACTTCAATATTTCTCAAATTGATGCGTTATACGTGGTATAATATTAAATATCAAATTTTATGGTTTTACTGTATGAAATCAAGTGGCGAGCGAGAGTCACCTCAAGGGTTAATAAAATAAATTGCGTACGAAGCGTTAGATTCATGGCACGAATCCTCGCGTGATACGTAAATTGCATAGAATGCACGCGGACGGTAATATCGCGTGAAATGATCGGTTTGTTGATTAATAAAATAAGTTGTGCACGAAGTAAATAGATTCGCGACACGAAGTAATCCTCGCGATACGTAAATTGCATAGAATTACGCGGACCGTTACGGTCGTTAGACGGGAGCAGAATCTAATTACGATCTGTTTGTTTTGTTTACCCTAACTCGAGCTATTGCTTTCTGGTTGCAGGTGACACTGGCCCCTAATTGGATAAAATGCGACTGTGCATCTTGCTCTTCCTTCTGGTGCAATCGGTGTTTACTTTCCACCAACCGTTCCAGGTGAATAGAGTCGTTAGCTTTTACAGAGTATAGGTAATTAACACTCGAAAATATTAGTTCGCTAGTTTAGGGTAACTTTAAGGCTCTGCATTTTACTAGTTTGTACAACTCTTCGCGCGTGCGCTATGAATGCACTGAAATTCACCGTTCAGAGATGAAAAAATAATTCAATGATTAAGTGGAATATTTCTAAAATTTCAAATCTTTGGGTATCATCGTAAGGCTCTGCATTTTACTAATTTTTAAAACTCTTCGCGCGTGCGCTATGAATGCATTGAAATTCATCGTTCAGAGATGACAAAGTAATTCAATGATTAAGTCCGATATTTTTAAAATTTCCAAAAAACCATAATGCTTCTAAAACGAATTTCTTAAAATTTCGAATCTCTAGGTACCATCATTCTTCTTGTCATAAATTCTACAATTCAAAGAGAATATATCGAACAGCAGAATCATCATAAGTAATTTGTTTGTCGACTAGTTTCATCCCGGCCAGTTGGACCCCAACAACGAAACAGCAGGATGCTGCTACTGCCACTTCAAAGACACGTTTTACATGGAGTCGAAGTGCGGCGCGACGACTCCTTTCATGAATCTGGTTCAAAAAGTGATTACGGCTAGATGTGACATTTCGGATCCGTGCGACAGGCTCGGAGAAGACGCTGTACCTCAGGGAGAATGGTATGACTTTTACTCGACTACCGACATCTTCAAACTATTCACCTTCGAACTTGAGAAACGCCTTCTGAAAACATATTTTCATATCCAAAAATCCACGAGAACTGCTTACCGAGTACCTTAGCTTACATAGAAAAAATACAAACATTACTCTTTACAAAATTCTATAAACATCGCTGCTAAAACTTTACGCGAATTCATTTAATGCAATTATACGAGTGCATATCCTAATTACTGTCTTCGAAGCTCGAACTTCCAAGATACACGCAAAGAAACATTCATTGTTGAACAATAGAACGAAGTGTGCGATCGCTGTTAACAAACCTATTTGCCAAAGCAGCATAAAATAAATCGAATGACAAGAGGTTAAATCTGGAAATGCATAGACGATGAAATTGCAGGTTCGACTTCATTATCGTCGGTGCCGGTATAGCCGGGCCAGTGATTGCCAGAAGGCTGAGTGACAATCCCTGGTGGAGAGTATTGCTGATCGAAGCAGGCCCGGAGGAACCAACGATGACTGCCATTCCGGGTCTGGCGTTCCACGCCGTCAATTCGTCCGTGGATTGGAAAATAAAGACGGAGCCCACGGAGCCTCATCCGACGGCTTGTTTAGGTAGTACATTATTCATTTTTCGAAACGACGATTATATGAAAACATTTCTTCATTACAAATACTGCTACACAACACAGTGACATTCAGCTAGATGAACGTGGAATACTAATACAATTCGATCAAATGATTCAATATTATATTTTCTCCACGGCGTATTTTCCTCTGTGAAAACGTGCGGCGTCCAACGCGTTAAACATCACTTCCCAAGACCACAAATCTGCATAGCCGTCCACAGTCCATTAGCAAGATCCCATCTGCTACATCTAATCCAACGTTTCATCGGCAGATACCATGGGCGTGTGCACGTGGCCCCGGGGCAAGATGGTGTCCGGCACGGGCGGCATGCACGGCATGATGTACGTGCGAGGGCACCCGGAGGTCTACAACAGCTGGGCGAGAAGCGGAGCACTGGGCTGGTCGTACGACGAGGTGGTCCACTACTTCGAGCGAGCGGAGAACCCCATAGACCAGTCGATGTTGTCCGACAAGCGACGAACGGTCCCAATCCCGGGGCCGATGAAGATCGAGCACTTCCGGGACAAGCCAGCGTTCGCGGACGAGATCCTGAAGGCAGCCGACGAGCTGGGCTACCGGACAGCGATGCTGAAGGAGTACGCTCAGACGGGCTTCATGGTAGCGCCGATGACGACCGACAAAGGCCTGCGCGGCACCACCTCGAGGAACTACATAAGACCGGTCCACGGTCGGAGGAACCTGAGAGTCCTGATCAACGCCCACGTCACGAGGATCCTGCTGAATCAGTGGCAGAGCAAAGCGTACGGCGTGGAGCTGATAGACAAGGACGGCTTCAAGCGGACCGTCAAGGCGAACAAAGAGGTGATCCTGACAGCCGGAGCGATCGGCTCCCCTCAGATCCTCCTGAACTCCGGGATAGGCCCCAAAGAGGATCTGACGAAGCTGGGTCTGAACGTAGTGAAGGATCTCCCCGTGGGGAAGAATCTGCACAACCACGTGTCCGTCGGCGTTCACTACAGCATCAGGGACACCGCCTACGAGGCCATGACGATGGACAGCGTCAACGAGTACCTGGAGACGCGCAGCGGCCCGCTGACCAGCACCGGCATCACGCAGGTCACCGCCTTCCTCGAGAGCAGCTACGCGGCCAACGGAGTGCCCGACATTCAAGTCTTCTTCGACGGGTTCTCGCCGAAGTGTCCGAGGACTGGGCTGCCTTTTGAGTGCCTGAACGGCGCGCTGGCGTTGTGCTCCGACAGGAGGGAGATCGTGATGAGGCCGACGGTGGTCACCGTCGCCAGCCGCGGCTATCTGAAGCTACGCTCCGGGGATCCCCTCGTGCAGCCTCTGATCTACCCGAATTATTTCACCGATATGAAGGACATGAAGGTCCTCGTCGAGGGGATCAAGAAGTCGAACGACCTCGTCAACACGCAGGCCATGAAGAACTGGGACCTCAGGATGGAGCCTGTGATTCATCCTCTTTGCACGAAGTAAGGATTAGGGGCTTATGATGATTAGGCGATAGTGCGACGAGCATTCTTTTTGTGACGGAATTGATATTTATTGTTTATATGGTAGCGATGTTTGATAGTCTGAACTGGTTTCGATTGTACGAGTAGTTTTTATATTTGCGCGATATTTCGGAGATACATCGAAATGGATAAATGCTACTCAATTTCAGTCAATGCGTCACTTGTTAATAGAATTACATTAGTCTATCAATATTGTGGGATTGGAATGAACCGAAACAAGGTTTAAAATAATTCTGATTTAATTTTAACACTAGGTTTACGGGCATTTATTGTACACTTGATTCTATTATTCCTAAAAGAATTGATGCTTGTTTATTTAGATTGTGGAAACTAGAGATTCAATAGTAGGTAATTGGGGTACATGTCGGTGTGATCGCATCAATCAAAATCGGCGTAAACATTTACAAAATAATATTTCTAAAATCCAATGTGCGTCAATTTCACGCGTTCCGTAAACCAAGTGTTAATTTTGTACTGCATAGATTTTGTTCTAATCGTGAACAAAAATTCGGCCCATAGAGGGTTAACTTCGTACAATATATTCGTGCGACACTTATGCCTCAGTTTTAACTAGAACACTTTTCTGTTTGCTTTAGCTACCACTTCGCCAGTGACGCGTACTGGGAATGCTACATAAGAGCCGCGACAGGACCCGAGAACCACCAAGCGGGCACCTGCAAAATGGGCGCGTACAGTGATCCGACGGCGGTGGTGGACCCAGAACTTCGAGTGCGCGGTGTGACGAACATTCGGGTCGCCGATGCTTCGATATTCCCGATCGTGCCGAACAGTAACCCTATCGCTGCGATCATGATGACGGCCGAGAAGGCGGCCGACATGATCAGGCACACGTGGTCGAAGTCGTGAGCCTCGACGATTCGCTTCTTAGGACGATTAAATAAAGACTATCCTTTTGTCAGGAATACTGGCGACGCTCTTGTTTATTACTATCATTCATCCGCCGCTAATAATAATGGAGAGTTTGTAACGCTGCAGTGATCTACGTCAGAGTTCGCGTTACGCGGATCGTATTACTTGGTTAACTTATGTATACTTTTAGGAGACGATTTAACCGCTTGCGCTGGAAAGACGTTTCTGCTGCAAAATTCTCAATTATGTCTTTCACACTTGACAATCTTGTTGCATGATATTAGATTGTTTCGAAATGTGTCACTCTATACAGAATGATTAACAAAATTGGTCTACATATCAGCGTAAAATAGGTAAAAACGAAATTCATCGAGACATTGCCAAACCTCTGAATTCATTTCCAGCGCAAGTGGTTAATGTTCACAGTGTATTGTACCCGACGAATGTCAGAGGATTTGTAACTTGTACGGAGAAACTGTGTTTCATCTCGGAATAGTACACAATAAGGCGAATACCACGCTGTAATTCGAATAAGCATGTAAAATACTGAAATGCAACTTCGATTGAAGCTTTCTAAAATGTCGACAGGATGGTATCTATTGTTCTCTGGAATACTTTGTTACCAGGAAATATAAACACCTCGGATCTTCCACGTAAAAGTAGGCAGATCATTCTCAACTGTGTTTCTAACGAATAGCGCGTGTGATAGAGTAACGATTTATGTTTAATATCAGCTACGATACCCCGATAAATATCTATAAGACATCACGAGTACATAGACGAATTTGATATTGAAACAAGCAAATAAAAAGGGAACACGTTTTTTATTTATTTGTTTGTATTTATTCGAACTCTGTGGCTACGGTAGCACGTGACCTGGAACGATAAGGGACCCACGTAACGCTGTATAGCTAATTCGTTGCTAATTTGCCTCTACGAGGGTACTGACAAGCCAATTCCCACTTGCCAATGATCATTTCTGCCGGTTATCAGGGGCACTCTATATATATTGAAGCATTAGTAGATTTACAATTCAGTTTGCGTGTTAAGTCAATTTCTGTACTGACTTCTCAGAAAAACATCTATTATCTTTTTAGTAATTGCAAAAAGCGCAGGTCAGGAACGGGTCATTCTGGTCCGTTTGGTAGTTCGCGTTGTGGAGGAGCCGGTGAAGTTAAACCGAAAATGACTGGTGAGAATACGGCCCTCAACACAGTTTACCAAAGGTCGCGTGTGTAGAAGAAATGAGAGCTCCTAAACTCTCCTCGGAAAATATATACCCGTCTGAAGAAAGACGGAAAGATGGGAAAGTAGGAGAAGATCAAGAAAGAGAGAAAAGATCCAAAAGACAGAGAAGAAGATCGAGGAAGGGAGAAAAGATCCAAAAGACAGAGAAGAAGACGAGGGATAATGGTGAAAAGACAAGTAAACAGGAGTGTTGTAAAAAAGGTGAAAGTTCCCAGGTCTGCAAGGGCCTGCCCGAACTGAATAATTCTGAGCGAGGCCTGGGAAACCTTCGGGAAATTCCGTAGGCCCGCGCGGGTCTGGTCGCCAAATGTGCGATGACACGAAACAGACTCGCGCGGAAGGACAGTGTTAACGGTAAAAGAATAGCGAGGAAAATCCAGTGGCGTAAGGCAGCTTTTCGGCCGCCACAGCGTAGTTAGTGTTGACCCTTTGCACTCCGAAGTTTTTCAGTAGAAATATTTGAACATTGTCTGATGAGATAAAGACGACATTGTTTGAAACTGGTTTAACGATAATTCACGGATAAATTAAGCAACAAAGTTATTTTATTTAAATATTTCACATTGCAATGCAAAGTTTCATTTAAAATAGTAAATATTCAACTTCATAGTTTTGCTGTATCGAATCAAGTGACTGAGAGTCACCTTTCGAGTGCAAAGGGTTAATTCAGTGGCATTTACTTACACACGAACTTTCGTCGTACTTCATTCTAAACTTTCGATAGGAACTTCATTTCGAGAAACGAACCGTTTGCTTTTAGAATTCCGAGTTATAGTATTGTACAAAGGAAAACTATTTGGAGAAGTTTTCGATACACGAACTTCTAGTTCTCTCTGCTACTGCTGTGCACGCTCCAGAACGCTTTAACGCGCATGAATCATATTTAACGTTTACAAACAATATTCATCGATACGATGTAAACGAAAGTTCGAGTTTCCAATGTGTGTCTACTGCTGTACTGAATAAAATTCAGCGTAACCCTTGACCTGTCCTTAGTCCAGTATTCATAAAAATTTGCATTTGAAATATCGACTGAGGCGTATTCAACATATCTGCTTATTCATTCTGCGTATTCAATTTATCTGGAGGAAAATATTCTGCTTATAGATTCGTAAACGTATAATCTAATCTTACGTGCGTGACGAATTTTATAAATTATTTGGAATACAATAGCGTCTCGCGTGCGAGAGAAATGTATTCGAACGAATAAAGTCAAATCAGTCTAATTTCAATTTTAATTATTATAGACGTTTATTCAAATGATGATAATTTATATATTTTTCGTTGTCAACGCAAACTTCGTTTTTTTCAATCTTTTCTTTTTTTCGCGTTTATTCAAAACAACGCAAACACGCACGCACATCTATGAAGTTTACATTAATATTAACCTACGCGTCTACATTATAGAATTTTTTATAAAATTTATCCGTCTTTTTATCTGTTCGTCGTATACTGCATTGAGAAGATTCTCATAAATTACTAGAATTGTACAAATTGATATATTCTAGTTCGCTCAGATTTTCAAACGAACGTTATAGTAATTTATACTACTCGTTACATTCCGCAAGGTTATGAGAGTATGACTGAAGCACTGGGAACGAGCAATTTTTATGGCTGACCGATATCGGACAAACAATATCGTGTTGCTGTCGCGTTTTGTGTTTCACGTATCGTTTGCGTGTACAAGGACAATAAATAGAAACAGTTTTCGGAGTGCTTGCGGAAACGTACACAAACTAGAATTCTATTTCATTGTCGTTGAGGGAAAATATTGCACTATCGAAGTATTCTCCCTGTATATAGATCAGGTTGTTTTTTTAATCTATCAGCAACTGCAACTAATTTCTATAGTATTCCTAGCGAAACTTAGAAATGCAACATTTCTTCGATCTTTTATTTTCCTTAGTACAAAATTTCGATGTGGAAAATCGAATAATTTTAGGGTAGTTTCAAGGTTCATTAAGATATTTAATATTATTCCTAGTGCAATATTGGAGCCTACAGAGTTCAAAGGGTTAATTTAGAATCGATTCAACTGAAACAGAAATGATTTATGCCGTCTTGAGAACTGTATCGTCTGCAGCTGTCGATTAAATCAATTCATTTTTGCAGCTATTAATTATACGCTCGACCAGTTTCTACACGCGAGTGTACCCCTAGGGTGCAATCAGTAGGATTCCCTGCAGCTCGGCGTGGAACGAGCGACAGAGGGAGAGAGTGCGCGAGAGAGAGTGCAAGAGAGAGCGCCTGACCAAACCGAGGCAAGATATAAGCGCAGAACAAATGTGCGTCGCCGCATATTTGGTAAGAGCGTCTGCCGGCGGCATTCTCAAGTTCGGAAGTGAAGTCGAATGTTGTGAATCAGGCTGAAACGTAATTATCATACCATATTCGGACCGATCGACTCGTTCGATTAGATACGCTCGTGCGAAGAGTCCAATTTACGCGATACGAATTCAGTGAAACGATTCAACTGCGGTGCAAAGTTTGTGCGTTTGAAAAACAACCAGACCTAGAGTACACGAACACGCAGATAACGCGTTCAACACTTTGAGGACGAATGTCGTCATTTTACTGACATCAGGCTTTCATGTTTCGAGTACGAAGTTGCGAACAAACAATTGATTCCTTCAAATAAGAGATCAGTGATTAGTTTGCTTTTTCTCTGGCATTCAACTCGTTGCACTCGAAAGTTTTTCGATGGAAATGTTCAACAATTTTTGACGAGATACAGGTGATATTGTTTGAAACTAACGATAATTCATAAATAAATTAAGCAACATTGTTTTATTTCAATATTTCACGTGACAATGCGAAGTTTCATTTGAAATATTAAACATTCAACTTTATAGTTTTCTTGTATCGAATCAAGTGCTGACCTCTCGAGTCACCTCTCGAGTGCAAAGGGTTAAGACCAAAGTCATCGAAATGTAGAATTTCATTTCCCTTGCAAAATGTTTTCAATACTTCAAGAAATCCTCGACTGCAAAGGGTTACGTTCGATGCCGTACGATTTTACTATACATGTTCATGAAAATGATGAAATTGCATGTTTGTCTAGAATGTCACCGCATTAGGTAGTAGTATTTGGGATACAGAAATGTGTCTCGATAATCATTGTTTAATCGAGTGAACTGTAGTAATTCGATTCGGTTCAGGGTCACCGGCGACCCCCATGTCACTCGACGTGTCAACCTCAATCGAATGGAATACTCGATAACATGTACATGCATATTTCATTCGTGTTCTCGCTAGTTTGAAAGGATTATGATTATATCGTTACTTCGCGCAGTAAAACTCATTCCAGTTTGCAAAAAGCCAGTCAAAAACAGCCAAGCAGTGCGACCACTCTTCTCTCGTTTCAATTCAGGAACTGAACGTTTTCCTATTTTTCCAAACATAAATTTGAAAGAGTGCGATCGTTAGATATCTCCAGTTCTAAAATAGACTGGCATATTTAGACAGTGCAACGGCGAGCCGACGTCGCGCCGCTCGGGACTCGAACGGTTAAGCCACAGGCCGGGATTGTCAATAACGCACTGTAATTATGTTTCTTTGGATGTAGTTAGAAAACTAGAGGGTAATGTTCAAAATAATATTAACCAGTTAATTGTGTTTGACGAGTATACACGTCATCTTAAAACTCTTAATGGTGCTAACTTTTTCAACGATGGATTATTTATTTTTTGAGACAAACATGTAATTCCTCTTCGTTTCGCTTTAATTTTTCATTAGGATATATTTTAGCATTTAACGAGTATACACTTCATTATTTGATTTTACGCGCACAAAGAGAGATCTTTCAAACGAAGTTCCACACTTAACTGGTTAATGTCCGCGTGCCTTAATCATCGTGTCGCAGCTTCTCAGGCATACACGTGTCAACGCACAGAAGCGTTTAATTTCTATTAGCTTACACTCTATAAAAAGAAACGTTACAATGCCGGATTTAGCAGGATTGAAAATCTTATCTGAAGAAGGTGGAATATCGCGTGCGATAATATGTCAGCCAGACGATAAGATTGACTCTGTAATCGTCAGCAAAAATGAAATACTACCTACTATTTCAAACTAAGCAAGTAACGTATTATATAAGCCTTCGGAATCTGACGAACGCATTTTTACAAAGCTCCCTAGTAAGTGCAAATTTACCTGATGCAAATTCAAACATTCGGCCAATCCGAAGATAATGCACTTGTTAAATGACATGCTGTATATTTTTCGTGACAAGTGAATTTCGGAAACGAGGCGAGTCAACTGGAAAGACGAGGAAACACTGTAGATAACGAAGGATAATATATTTTAAATTAAACAATTTTCTTTATCTCAACCCTTTGCACTCGAGAGACTCTCAGTCGCCACTTGATTCGATTTGCAAAATTATAAAGTCTCATATATAATATTAAGCTTCGTATGATGCATCGATATATGGAATATTCAAATAAAATAACTTTTCTTCTTAATCTTCCATATGTTTTCTTATTAACACTAGATTTACGGAACCCGTCAATTTGACGGACACTGAATTTTTTAAACATTATCTCAGTAACAGTTCCAGTCGATTTTGATTCGTGCAATTACGCGAATACGTATTGCTACACTCTAGTTTTGAAGCTACGATTTTCGCGATTTATATAGACGAGCACGTAGTTTTCTAGGAACAATATATCTCTTCGGAGAATAGTGAATATTTCTAGTGAAAAACTTCGAGTGCAAAGGGTTGATGTCTGAAAATAAGAGAAATATAAAAGAGCCACGTTATTCGCAGGACGATCGAACAGAGAACAGAAGCTGGAACATTATCGGATTACCAAACGAGCTGTCACGTCGGCAAACTGTAATCATCGGTTTAATTTCATTACAGGTTCACTGCGAGCCTCTATTAACGCGACATGGAGGCGTGTATGGCGACAAGTTGCAGCGCTGCGCTGTCCACGACGCCGGCTTCTCTTTTCACTCAACTGACGCAGCTGCTTCTGGTGTCTCAATGTGCCTTGAACACCGTGAATTATCCCCCGGATCGCACTACGGACATTCTCTCTTCGAACAGGGAATTCGATTTCGTGATCGTCGGAGCCGGAACCGCGGGTTCCGTGTTGGCTCGCAGGTTAACGGAAGTAAACGACTGGAACGTCTTACTGATCGAGGCTGGGAAGGATCCTAGCATCTTCACCGAGGTGCCTGGATTCATGACGCTGATCCCGGACTCGGATGAGGATTATGCTTACCAGGTGACGCGAATATCGAATTTCATAAGCACATTCGTTCCGAACTTCTGATGTTTGAATCGCGCAAAGCGAACTTGAGAATCTAGTTAAAATTTACTGTACAGTTTATTCTATTGTTCCTGGGGAAGTTGATATTCGTTCATTTAGATTTTGGAATTGTAGATGTAGAAATAGACAATTAGGATTCATATTCGCGTAATTGGATCGACGAAAACCGATTGAAACATTTACCAAATAAGTGCTAAACAACCTAACGCAAACGAATCACGGAACATCTGTCGAACAAGGTCGAGCCTCAAGAAGGCGTTTGCCAAGGGCAGAGAGGCAAACGCTGCAGATGGCGCAAGGGCAAAGCTCTGGGTGGCAGTAGCGTCATGAACGCGATGCTCCACGTATTCGGCAACGACAGGGACTACAACAACTGGGAAGCCATGGGCAACGAAGGATGGGGCTACGAGAAGATGCTGCACTACCTGCGGAAAGCCGTAAACTGTCCAGCAGGAAGTACACCCGCATCGGAGAACAGACACTGCGGAGATGGTCCAATGAGCGTGAGGAGCTACAATTACTCCGAGACGATGTACCAAGACGTCCTCTTGGAAGCTGCGCAGGAGCTAGGGCTAGACGTGCTGGAGCCTCTAATCGGCGATCGTTTCATCGGGTTCGGCAGAGCACTGGGTACCCAAAGCGAAGCTCGACGCGTGAACGCTGCCAAGGCATTCCTGTCCCCCGTGAAGGACAAGAAGAACCTCTACGTGATGAAATCCAGCAGAGCCGACAAGATACTGATGGACGGCAACCGAGCAACCGGCGTCCGAGTCACGCTGGAGGACGGAAGATCGGTAGACGTGAAGGCGACCAAGGAGGTGATCCTCTCCGCAGGCAGCGTGGCCAGTCCCCAACTGCTGATGCTGTCCGGAATAGGCCCCGAGAAGCACCTGCAGGACATGGGGATCCCTGTGATAGCCGATCTTCCGGTCGGCAGGAACCTCCAGGACCACGTGATGTGGCCAGGGCTGATAATAGGCTACCAGAACGACACGCAGCCTCCGTCGATGCCGATCTTCATGATGGACTTAGCGTACACGTACTTGATGCACGGGAAAGGGGATCTGGCGTCCGTGCCTCTGGACCTCCAGGGCTTCGTCAACGTGAACGATCCCGCTTCCAAGTACCCAGACATCCAGTTCATCTTCGGATTTTTCCCTCAGTGGCAGTCGGCGAAGATCGGCAGCGTGTACAAGATGCAGAACATGGACGACGGCGTGCTGGCAGGCGTGAATAGGATCATCATGGAGAACAACGCGATCATGGCGGTCAGTATCTTGCTGAACCCGAAGAGCAGAGGCGTCGTCGAACTGAGGAGCGCCGATCCTGCCGATCCCGTGAAGATTCACGCGAATTACTTCGAGGAGGAGGAGGACTTCCAGACGCTGCTGAAGTCGGTCGATGTTATCAGGTCTCTGACGAACGCGAAGGCGTCGCGGAAACACGGGATGGACTTGAAGCACCTCGATTTGCCCGGCTGCAAGCGCGAGAAGCTCGATTCGAAGGAGTACTGGGCTTGCAACATTCGGCAGACCGCCACTTCGGTGTTCCATGCCGTTGGCACCGCGAAAATGGGGCCGAAGAGCGATCCCGCTGCTGTCGTGGATCCCAGGCTGCGCGTGCACGGTGTCCAGAGGTTGAGGGTGGTGGACGGGTCCATCATGCCGACGATCGTTAGCGGGAACACGAATTCTCCGATTATGACGATCGCGGAGAAGGCGGCGGACATGATTAAGGAAGACTGGTCGAAGGATGTCCATTCGGAATTGTGAGGATCGAATGAAGGATATGTTATCAGATTTGTGACCTGAAAGTTATTCGAGTTCTTTCCGTTTCATCGAATTCTGTTGACGAATATAATGAAGTAACGATGGCGCGGATGTAGTTTATAAATAAAGTTTATTTTTCTAACAGCAGGCGGATTTGTGATTCTATATGTGTATTGATTGCTATTTGTGACGGATGACAGTATTTTCTTTTGAAAAGTATGATACAGAGGTTTTATGGGTTACGTGCATATTTCATAGTTACGCTTGTTTGAAATACTTTGGTTTTTTTTCGGTCCTCATATGGTGGTCCGTAGCGTTCTCGCGAGGAGAGTAAATTCTCACGTTCACTTGTCCTTGGGGGTTGCATTTTACGAGGCATTAGCTGCTTGTCTTGTAACGAGACCCATGGTAGAGGCTTTGCGTTCAAATTAATAGAGATAAATGTCTAGAAGAAGGTTAAGCTCGATACAAATCACGGGAGAACGGAAAAAGAATTCATTCCTGTGGCGATTACAGAAACGGGTTGTGCAACGCACGCCTTATCATTTCGCGAAACAAATAACAATTCAATTCGGACGAGATCAACGAGATAACATCGAACGTGCTCCATTATTGTTCTTATCGTTGAAGATGAATTTGGCAAGATTCGGCCTTCCCGATATCTTTAATCCAGAGGTGGCCATTGCAGGTGGATGATTACAAATGGCGCATTGCATGCTAGCGTCTACTTATTCTTGTTGAATGCTTCAATAAACGTGTGCCTCTTGAACTCACGTAAATTAACCCCTTGACCTATGATGTCTTTCTCAACTCTGATCGATACGGCTACTTTGTCATTAATAATTTATTGGGAAAAGAGTTGTCTATATTTCCTTTTAAGTGTAATAGTTGATCACAGAGGAATAATATTTACTTTGAATTCGAATGAACTAAATAATATATATATATATAGTGTGCTAAGAAAATAGGGATAGGAGCAGGATCGGCTTCGCTTGGAGAAGGAAAGGGAATAACTCGATCTCGCAATTAAATTAACCCTTTGCGAACGATTCCTTGACATATAAATAACCTCCAGCAGATGAAGCTAAATTACATATCGATTGCTCAAATAATAGAAAAAAGAGGAAGCTGCGTACTGATCTCTTGCTGTTCGAGTAACTAAATCATTTGTCAGCAACTCAGCCTTCCAAATATGAAAATCTCATCTCTCCGAAATGTCGACAGTCGTCAAAGGGTTAATCGAACACCCGACGAAGATAATCTTTGTTTCCACCCGGTGAACACGTTCACTTCGCGTCCCCGGTGTAAAAAGGGACGAAAGGTAATTCAGTTCCGGTACACGACGGCACCGGTCGCGTTCTGCTCGAGTTTGAACAGGTAGCCAGCCGCTGTCCCCCTCGTCCGACTGTCAATGGCCGAGGATATCCGCGACAGGGATCTGCGGTCTCGACGAGATTCGGGACCGATGCATTTCTGCGTCGGCGGGTATCGAAGTTGCTCGAGTTACGGCGATGCTGTGGAATACCGGGGAATAGATCAATTACGTTTACGTTTCGGGTTGTTCGTCGTTTCTCGGGGGTGTCGTGATCGGCGATGTCTTTTGTGACGGTGTGAGCAAACGACTGTTCCACGAAATTGATAAATGAAATCTGCTCGCGGGGGAAGATAGCTGTTGGCGGTAAGACTGTTTTTTCAAGCCTCGTTTTCCGGGATATCTCGCTATTAGGTCATCCTGCGATTAAGTGTTCGTCTTCTGCGATAGAAGTTAATATGAAAAATTATACCATTTGGGGGTGACCTAATATTTTTCAGTGTGACGTGGTAATAGTTAGGGCTTTACAAAATATCTAATTATTAGGTCATGCTATAAATGTCGTTTCTTATGGATTTGTTTCATAGTAGCAACTAGTAGTCGACAGATCGATGATCGAACGTAAAATATAAGCATTCATATTTTGCAGTAAGATGAGTGATGACGTTATTTAGGAGATGACCTAATGTTTCTCAATGTAATATGGTAATAAGCTGCTTAAGTTTGCGCACTGGCTTCTTTTTTGAGTTTCCTAGTCTTTTAATACTTCGGTCAAGTGTGTGTGTGTGTTGCAAGTATTCATGGTTATCATTTGCATGTACTTTTTTATTATTGAGAGTGTACAGTCATTCGCAGTTTGAGAAATTTCGATCGGAAGACTGTCTTTGGTGCTGATACTCGTTCTAATAAAAACTGAATGTTTTCAAAATTAATTAATTGCGAAGCATCGGAAAGTGTGTGCTGTACAGTTCTTGATCCAATTAGCACACAATACAGCGTAGTAATTATGTAATTTCCGTAAGCAAACATCATTCTTGCATGTTTGGGACATTAGACGCGTTCATTAAGCACGTTTATCGAACCACGTCGGATAGAAGAAAATACACAGATGTTTCGCTTTATGTTGTGAAATCCTGGAATTTATGCAGTGCGCTAAGACTTAATGCTGGAAACGATAAGTAAGCAGGCGGAAGTGAAAGCGAACTAATCTCACTATTTTTCAACGCGATAACGTAATCATTCTTTGTACAATTAAATGTGAAGTAGCAATGTAAAAACTGCTGTGCTCCGTGCGTTTGCAGTATTAACAATGTTCAGAAATGTATACAATATAAATCGTAATGAAACCTGCTAAAGTTTCCTTTCATTTTTGAAGAAAATCAGTAGCGAAGAAATAGAAAGTTTCTACGATCTTTTTTTCATTAAATTCTTCTTAATGAATGTAAATCCGCATAAACTTTTATTACATTGCATTCGATCATTATTCTTCTTTTTCTTTTTCCTATTTGATCTTATGTAATTGCTATTTTTAGTCTCCTATTTGCACATATTTTACTATTATTTCTAGCCTATATCTGAGCTTATTTAATTAACACATAACTAATAGTGAACGGTAAAGCTTTGAAACTACAGAAAACCAGGGACTGAAGCGATACTACAACGTAGATTGCAATTTACTACAATGACTATTGCAAATAACCAGTTCTATTCATTTAAATGTTTGCCTGTGTCAGCACTCCTGAATCGGTGGCCTATAACGGCAACTGTCGCGTAAGAAACACTGTAAAATTGTAATGTAAATGCCTCGCTTTCAGAATTTTTTGTCGACGTTAAAAGAAACACATCTTTAGTAATTCACAATCTTACAAATCTCTATAAACCGTAAATGTATTTCTTAGAATGAACGTTGATAAATAAACAGCATTATCAACCCAATCACTTCCATAAGCAAAACTGAACACGGAAGTGCACTCGAATTCAAGATGTCATCTTTCGATAATCCTAATGACAAAAACTATCACAGATTCATTCCAGAAATTCCAAGTTCGTCTCCAACATTCAAACAACTGAAATCGAGAGCAATCGACAAGTTCACCCTCGACCCCTAAAAAACCGATCGAAAAATCATGTCGTGGGCTCCTCCCGACCTAAGCAGCCTCTGCGCGCCTCATTCCACGGTCTCCACCTGCCAACCACCTGCGTTCGTATTCTTAGCGTTCGTCGCCCGTTTGTTCGGGCACTCGAAAGATCAATCCGCGTTTCACGAGACGAAATCGTCGAGCTCGCCGTGGGAAATCACGCTCGACGGACGCGGAGGAATCGCTGGGAACGTCGAAGAACTTCGGGGAGGAAGTAGACCGGGTCATCGGACAACGGGGAACATTCTGCTCGATGATCCGCCGTCATCGAAATCGTCATCCTGCGTTTATAGTTCACGGTCCGGGTGCGAGCCGTTCTTCTCCGCCAGCCTCGAGGATGAAAGCGAGGAAAGCGGCGCCGCCATTAATACGGGCCTCGCTGGGGTTTACAGCGTCCATCCGCGGACGGGAGTTTACGGCCGAGGAACGAGCGCCGCGTCGAAAGTTTACGAGGACTTTCTTCTAACGGAAGGTAAATCAATTCCGAGTTTTGCATGTATCGAGCGGAGTTTTGCATGTTCCGTTGCTGCGCGCACGGACCTCGGCATGTTTCTCGCGACAGGAATTGTCGGATGGAAACGGACGTTTATCGGAAGTTTGATTTGCTGTATCTTTATGGTCTTTATTGGTGTTTGTAGTCCTTTTTTGTGGGGTAGTTCCAATTTTAAGATATTTGCATACTGAACGTTGTTTGGTAATGATAAATTGGAAAGTGCGTTTGTCGGTTTTAGAGCGGTTTTCTGGAGAGGATTCGATCTTCGCGCCTTGTAGCTTTTCGAGATTTAATGATGGTAATTGAATAGATTTCTTAGCCTGTTTGCAGCTGATTGAATTTCGGTCGATTAAACCTTGCTTTTCATAACTTTCGGAGATACGCTAATGTTCTTTATGAATATCACGTGTCTTTTTGCAGATCAATTTCGCACCGTACCGCAGAGTGACACAAGATCGTTTGCCGCGATTCCTTATCTGTTACCAAACTTTGGGACGAACTTGCAGTTGCAACCGCAGCAGGATAGTCTGACTACTGAACAGAGTCATCATTCATACGACGCTCTATTGAATAGCATCCTTGGACAAGCAGTCCGAGTAACCGATCACGATAACGTGAACATCGTCGAGAACACGAGAGTGCAACCAAAGAACACGGCGAACGTTCGCGATGCAAATTATTTTTCGGATACCACTAACCTTTTTTCGGATGAGTACGATTTTATTATAGTGGGAGCTGGATCCGCTGGCTGCGTTCTTGCCAACAGACTGAGCGAGATTACAAATTGGAAGGTATTTGTTGTTATAATTTCTTAACGCTTTGTAAAAGAGAGAATAATGTCCACGGAAACGTTGATATTTACCAAGATAACAGCTGATTAAAAGGAACTCGAAGAATAACGAGAAAAGAATTAAAAAAATTATAATTAATAAAATTAATCGTTTAATATTTGATAACAGATATTATATAATACCTTTGATTATCAAATATTAAACGATTAATCCTTCTTTCGTTATTTTTCGAGTTCTTTTAATCAGCTATCTTCGTAAATATCAACGTTTCCGTGGAAGTTCGCTGTTTAAATGGCTACTAATTGAATTATGGCACGCGATTTCATAATCTCTAATCCTTAGAACGTAACTCGAAGGAAAGTGAATTCCGTGTAAAACATTGGTAGTAGAAGTTTAGAACTTCAGCGGTTCTT